TAGTGTATAGTGTAGTATACTAGTACAGCACTAGTGTATAGTGTAGTGTATAGTGTAGTATACTAGTACAGCACTAGTGTATAATGTAGTGTATAGTGTAGTATACTAGTACAGCACTAGTGTATAGTGTAGTATACTAGTACAGCACTAGTGTATAGTGTAGTGTATAGTGTAGTATACAGGTACAGCACTAGTGTATAGTGTAGTATACTAGTATAGCACTAGTGTATAGTGTAGTGTATAGTGTAGTATACTGGTACAGCACTAGTGTATAGTGTAGTGTACTAGTACAGCACTAGTGTATAGTGTAGTGTATAGTGTAGTGTACTAGTACAGCACTAGTGTATAGTGTAGTGTACTAATACAGCACTAGTTTATAGTGTAGTGTCTAGTGTAGTATACTAGTACAGCACTAGTGTATACTGTAGTGTATAGTGTAGTATACTAGTACAGCACTAGTGTATAGTGCAGTGTACTAGTACAGCACTAGTGTATAGTGTAGTGTACTAGTACAGCACTAGTGTATAGTGCAATGTACTAGTACAGCACTAGCGTATAGTGTAGTGTACTAGTACAGCACTATTGTATAGTGTAGTGTGTAGTGTACTAGTACAGCACTAGTGTGTAGTGTAGTGTGTAGTATACTAGTACAGCACTAGTGTGTAGTGTAGTATATTAGTACAGCACTAGTGTATAGTGTAGTGTATAGTGTAGTATACTAGTACAGCACTAGTGTGTAGTGTAGTGTGTAGTGTAGTGTACTAGTACAGCACTAGTGTATAGTGTAGTGTATAGTGTAGTATAGTATACTAGTACAGCAATAGTGTATAGTGTAGTATATAGTGTAGTATACTAGTACAGCAATAGTGTATAGTGTAGTGTGTAGTGTACTAGTACAGCACTAATGTATAGTGTAGTATACTAGTACAGCACTAGTGTATAGTGTAGTGTGTAGTATACTAGTACAGCACTAGTGTGTAGTGTAGTATACTAGTACAGCACTAGTGTACAGTGTAGTATATAGTGTAGTATACTAGTACAGCACTAGTCTATAGTGTAGTGTATAGTGTAGTATACCAGTACAGCACTAGTGTATAGTGTAGTATATAGTGTAGTATAATAGTACAGCACTAGTGTGTAGTGTATAGTGTAGTATACTAGTACAGCACTAGTGTATAGTGTAGTGTGTAGTGTAGTATACTAGTACAGCACTAGTGTATAGTGTAGTGTACTAGTACAGCACTAGTGTATAGTGTAGTATACTAGTACAGTACTAGTGTATAGTGTAGTGTAGTATACTAGTACAGCACTAGTGTATAGTGTAGTGTATAGTGTAGTATACTAGTACAGCACTAGTGTATAGTGTAGTGTAGTATACTTGTACAGCACTAGTGTGTAGTGTAGTGTAGTATACTAGTACAGCACTAGTGTATAGTGTAGTGTATAGTGTAGTATACTAGTACAGCACTAGTCTATAGTGTAGTGTATAGCGTAGTGTATAGTGTAGTGTATAGTGTAGTATACTAGTACAGCACTAGTCTATAGTGTAGTGTATAGTGTAGTGTATAGTGTAGTGTATAGTGTAGTATACTAGTACAGCACTAGTCTATAGTGTAGTGTATAGTGTAGTATACTAGTACAGCACTAGTGTGTAGTGTAGTGTATAGTGTAGTATACTAGTACAGCACTAGTGTATAGTGTAGTGTATAGTGTAGTGTATAGTGTAGTATACTAGTACAGCACTAGTCTATAGTGTAGTGTATAGCGTAGTGTATAGTGTAGTGTATGGTGTAGTATACTAGTACAGCAGTAGTCTATAGTGTAGTGTATAGCGTAGTGTATAGTGTAGTGTATAGTGTACTAGTACAGCACTAGTCTATAGTGTAGTGTATAGTGTAGTATACTAGTACAGCACTAGTCTATAGTGTAGTGTATAGTGTAGTATACTAGTACAGCACTAGTGTATAGTGTAGTGTATAGTGTAGTGTACTAGTACAGCACTAGTCTATAGTGTAGTGTATAGTGTAGTATACTAGTATAGCACTAGTCTATAGTGTAGTGTATAGCGTAGTGTATAATGTAGTGTATAGTGTAGTGTACTAGTACAGCACTAGTCTATAGTGTAGTGTATAGCGTAGTGTATAGTGTAGAGTGTAGTGTACTAGTACAGCACTAGTCTATCGTGTAGTGTATAGTGTAGTATACTAGTACAGCACTAGTCTATAGTGTAGTGTATAGTGTAGTGTACTAGTACAGCACTAGTCTATAGTGTAGTGTATAGTGTAGTATACTAGTACAGCACTAGTGTATAGTGTAGTGTATTATACTAGTACAGCACTAGTCTATAGTGTAGTGTATAGCGTAGTATATAGTGTAGTGTATAGTGTAGTATACTAGTACAGCACTAGTCTATAGTGTAGTGTATAGTGTAGTGTATAGTAGTGTAGTGTATAGTGTAGTGTACTAGTACAGCACTAGTCTATAGCGTAGTGTATAGCGTAGTGTATAGCGTAGTGTATAGTGTAGTGTATAGCGTAGTGTATAGTGTAGTGTATAGCGTAGTGTATAGTGTAGTGTATAGTAGCGTAGTGTATAGCGTAGTGTATAGCGTAGTGTACTAGTACATCACTAGTCTATAGTGTAGTGTATAGCGTAGTGTATAGTGTAGTGTATAGTGTAGTGTACTAGTACAGCACTAGTCTATAGTGTAGTGTATAGTGTAGTATACTAGTACAGCACTAGTGTATAGTGTAGTATACTAGTACAGCACTAGTCTATAGTGTAGTGTATAGCGTAGTGTATAGTGTAGTGTATAGTGTAGTGTACTAGTACAGCACTAGTCTATAGTGTAGTGTATAGCGTAGTGTATAGTGTAGTATACTAGTACAGCACTAGTCTACAGTGTAGTGTATAGCGTAGTGTATAGTGTAGTGTACTCCTACAGCACGTCTATAGTGTAGTGTATAGTGTAGTATACTAGTACAGTACTAGTGTATAGCGTAGTGTATAGCGTAGTGTATAGTGTAGTGTATAGTAGTGTAGTGTATAGCGTAGTGTATAGTGTAGTGTATAGTGTAGTGTATAGTAGCGTAGTGTATAGCGTAGTGTATAGTGTAGTGTATAGCGTAGTGCATAGTGTAGTGTATAGCGTAGTGTATAGTGTAGTGTATAGTAGTGTAGTGTATAGCGTAGTGTATAGCGTAGTGCATAGCGTAGTGTACTAGTACATCACTACACCGGTTGTGCGTTGGAGCGCAAAGCCAGAACGTTCACAATCCGAGTCCCGTGACATTCCGCCAGCAGTCACAAACGCCATCATCAGCCGACAAGCCAGATTTGCGGAGAAATCCACCTCCACGTTGCCTTCCTTCCACACAGGGGTTAGACACGTGACAGCACGTGGTGGCGCGGGGAGGGGGCCTTCATGGATGCTCGTTAAAAATAAATAGCCGTGGGTTGGCGAGAGAGCGGGCGAGAGGAGACATCGGTTTATTACCGTCGCCCATGTATCCAACTTCTCGCCCGGTACAACAACGGAACGGAAATAAATAAACGTGACCTGTAACTTCGCGACCTGCCGCAGATCCCACGCCCGGCAAATACCGCGTCCGCATCCACAGCCCGGATGATGATGATGATGATGATTATGACGACCAGAATAATCATCATAATCATCATAATCATCATCATCATAAAGTCTCTTTTTTATTTTACCAGGTTGTAAGGCTCCACCACTGAGCTCTTGTGTCGCTATTTGTTTTAAGAAGCGACCTGGCCGTCATGGTTACCATCATCATCATCATCATGTAAACCCAGGTAGTATATTTCAGCAGGTCTAAGGCCCCACTGAGGTGCTGTGTGGCTATTTGTTTAAGCCACCCGGCTATCACAAATGATAGCTCACACTAAGTGGTCGCCTGTTACCATCGTCACCATCGCAATCATCATCGCCATCGTCACAATCGTCGTCATCGTCGCCATCGCCACCATCGTCATCGCCGTCATCGCCGTCATCGTCACCATGACCACCATCGCCATCGTTACAATCGTCACAATCCTCATCATCGTCACCATGGCTATCGTCATCGCCGCCATCGTCGTCATCGTCACCATCACCACCATCGCCATCGTTACAATCGTCACAATCCTCATCATCGTCACCATCGTCGTCATCGTCACCATGACCACCATCGCCATCGTTACAATCGTCACAATCCTCATCATCGTCACCATCGTCATCGCCATCGTCGCCATCGTCGTGCGGAAATTCACAGCGGTAACCAAATAACTCGAAACGCGCGGTGACGTTGATTCAGAGAAAAATCCACGGGGAGAGAGAGAGGCACAAATATACAGCAGCAGCAGACGTCGTCAGGGTCGGGATCGAACCCGCAACCTCCTGCATACCAGGCGAGGGAGTTAACATTTTGTCACTGTGATGATGACGATGATGAGAGAGAGACACGCAAACTCCAAATACTCAGCAGACGTCGTCAGGGTCGGGATCGAACCCGCGACCTCCTGCATACCAGGCGAGGGAGTTAACATTTTGTCCATGTGATAATGACGATGATGAGAGAGAGAGACACGCAAACTCCAAATATACAGCAGCAGGAGTTAACATTTGGTCACTGTGATGATGATGACGACGATGATGAGAGACAAGCAAACTCCAAATACTCAGCAGACGTCGTCAGGGTCGGGATCGAACCCGCGACCTCCTGCATACCAGGCGAGGGAGTTAACATTTTGTCACTGTGATGATGACGATGATGAGAGAGAGAGAGACGTGCCCCTTCCACTGCTGTCAACTTGCACTCGTACTCATACTTCTGCTGCTGTTATACTTCTTCTGCTGCTGCTGTTATACTTCTGCTGCTGCTGCTGCTGTTATACTTGTGCTACTGTTAAGTCTTCTGCTGCTGAGTTATAACTTCTGCCGCTCTTAAAATCATTCTGCTCCCACCGGCACCGCCGCCGCCGCCGGCACCGGCCTTTGGCTACCGGCGCATCCAGAGCCAGGTGTTGATGAGCGCCAGCGCCAGCGTGGTGCCGTACAGGAGGAGGTCACGCTGGGCACGTTCAGCCGCCTCCGTCTCCACGCGCTGGAGCCGCCGGTTCAGCTTCGACACCTGCGCGGGGTCACGGGCAAAGGTTCAGTCTCAGTGTGCGTGTGTAAGTGTGTGCGTGTGTCTGTGTGCGTGGAGTCTGTGGGTCTCTGTGTGAGTCTACGGGTTTCTGTGTGTGTAGTCTATGGGTCTCTGTGTGTGTAGTCTATGGGTCTGTGTGTGTGTGTGGAGTCTGTGGGTCTCTGTGTGTGTAGTCTATGGGTCTCTGTGTGAGTCTATGGGTCTCTGTGTGAGTCTATGGGTCTCTGTGTGTGTAGTCTATGAGTCTATGGGT